AGATATTATTATCTAACGTTTTCTGGCATTTTCAACTAGATAAAGCTGGCATAAGCTATGTTTCTGAGCTCTAATATTTCATAGGTCTTTCACTATCTCTTATTTTACAGTTACAGAGCAAAATTGGACGATATCATTATCAAGCCGGAGATATGACAAAATTACAGCTAGCTGGTCTCCGTTTTATGTAACGGGATACGATATTTTCGGATATTTGGTGTCCTGCAAATCTGCACAAGATTGGGCTAAAGGAACATTCTACGAATTTGGAGAAAACAGTTCAAAATCTGTGAATTTTAATGAGCTGATCGGGTACACTAACTATGAAGTGCACGTGTTGATGATGTTAAATGAGAGAGAGACTGGGACGTCTGCGGCATACAAGAGTTTAACAGCGTTAATAACAACTCCTGAATCAGGTAAGCTCTTTAATTATATTTCAAGGCAATCAATAATTATTTCTTATTGATTACTATATCAGTGGTTCTTCTCCACTATTCTTTTTGTCTCTGTTTTTCTTTTTCTTGCCCTCTCGTTTACTTTCTTTCTTGCATGTATTTGCGAAAAAAACAAATTTTACACCGCAAAAATAACGAGGAGTAACACATTTTGTCTTCCATTTCTTCTTCGGCTTTATGTTAGTATCTCCTTTAATTTTTCAATAAATATATCCAGACATTGTTCTCATTATCTTAAATCTTTCTAGTTTTTTTGCTTATTTGCAAACTTATTATTGTTAATTTTTTTTCTTTTATTTCTTAGTTCCTAGAAGTAGTCCTAAAGGAGTTTATTCCACTAACATAACATCAAATTCAGCAGTTATTGGATGGCAGGAAATCCCCAGAAAAGAAGCCCGTGGTGTTCTTCTTGGATACCGAGTTCAGGTCTACAATAGATACACTGGCAGATATGGAAAGGAAATAATAACAAATGATACATCAGTGATATTAACGGATCTTTCACTTGTTACCTCATATCGAGTGTCCATAAAAGGCTATACTGCAGTTGGATCAGGACCACGTGCATACCATAACTTTACCACACTGAGTAAGATTTTGATGTCAATGCATCGATAATATGTTCTTTTAATGACCTGCTGATGGAAAAATGTTGATGCRGCGGATAACATTTTTGTTTGTTTGATCGCAACACCCAGATCATAAACACATTAGAGTTTTCCGATTTAGCGGAATTTGAATCCGAAATTCCGAGCGCTAACAATACAAATTGATAATCGCTTTACATCTGCATAATCACTTTACATCTGCATAATCGCTTTACATAAGTGACTTTAAATTTAAGAAATGGCCGATCTATTTCCATGTAAATCAATATATTCCATTTTTACAGATGTGATTGTTATTCAACACATATTTAGAAAAAAGAGAAAAAAAGATTATTGCAATAAAGCACGAATAGAATGCACTCAGCAGAGAGAAACAAAAGAAGAAATAGTGGAATAAAAGAAGAAATGAAAAGCAAGGCAACAAACAGCCAAGGATATACACAGAATAAACGAAAAGATGATTGATTTTATTCTGTTTATTCTTGATAAACGTGCGCAGTTCGTGATACAGGGTTAGAAAACAACGACCCTGTATCAAATTAAAATTTTATTCATATTTATTTATTAGCTTTTGCCCCTAGTTTGGGCAGGGACACCTCAACAGCGTGATCCTGTATTACTGCGGACCCTGTACTCTCACACTCACTACCTCTACATTAAGTATTTTTGCACACAACACTCCTCACATGTTGATTTTTACTGAGGGAGGAAAACCGGAGGACCCAGAGAAACATTTGTAGTATATATTTCGATTGATGTTAAGATAAGGATAATGTGACACAATTATGAATTATAGTATTAAAGCGTGGATTTCACTAGCACATAAGCATAGGCATAAGCACGAAGCACGAGAGTCATATGCGCCAGTGAGAACGGGCTCAAAATAAGCATAAGCATGAGCACAAGAAAAACGAGCTAGGCTTGATCTTCTTGTGCTTATCTCATGCTTATCTCATGCTTATCTCATGCTTATGCTCAGTGAGAACGGGACTGCATAGGCATAAGGATAACGTAGTACCGAAATAATACGCTCGTGCGCATGCTCAATGGCTTATGCTTATGTCGAGCCCGTTCTCACTGGCGCATATGATTCTGATGCTTGTGCTTATGCTATGCTTATGCGCTAGTGAAATCCACGCTTAAAATTTAATGATAGCAAAAACAACAACAAGGATAATAACAAGGATTTTAACGAAGTTCTACGGAAGTTTACAAAGACTATTTTTCTTAATGTTGGTAGGGTAATACCTAGCAATGATAAGGATAATGCTTTGAACAAAATATTATAGACACTTTTTAAAATAAAAAATCCTGAGTCGTACTTCTTTTATAAAACTCGCCCTAAAACAAACATTACAATTAAACCCTCTGGGTCAACAACGACTTGTGATGAAATGTCATTTCTTGTCACCACAGTAGAACTGTGCTCGAAGAGGACCAGAACTGAGGACGATTGATTCGATGAATTGTGCCGTCTATCATGCCTAAAACGTTCGGGAAATGCCGAAAAGTTCCAAAAAAACTTTGCCATTTCTGAAGGGTATGCCACGTAATATAGCGCGTGTATATCGAAAACAATATTGAAATAATGTGTTACGCAGTATTTCCTCTGCAACTGTAYTTTTTTGAAATATCGAAGATAAGCAAGAGTATGCAGTTTTAAATATTGTCTCAGCCAAACAAATACCAACAACGTTCGATTTCTTACGTCCAGAATACAGAGACGTCTTATATTTGCTGTTTGGGTCCTGGAAAGGTGTCTTGGTGCTGTGACGTCCAGATAAATACTGTTGTATCAAGTAAACTAGAATAGCACAACTTAAAAAGCATCGGGTGGGCCTGATTATGTAAATAGGCTTGCTTTGTAAAACGGGCTGTTTTCTTTTGTTCTAAATCGTTTCCCTGGGGGGCAAAATCAGCGAGATATAATTTGTCAGCATCAGATGGCAAAATGTGTTAACGAAGRAAACTGTGTGAACTAATGTGTCAATGGCAATCAATGATCGCTAATTTCCAATAAAAAGCCGCATGTAAAMTTGGRTCAGGCCAATGTGATAAATCCGTGTACGCGATTGTGATATTACACATTATTTCGTGAAGTGTCCCTGCTTGATCACACCAACAATGTGCACTAGGTATAAATTTTTRACTCAAAACGGTCGCTCAAAGCTTTTGTCGTCGTTAGTCATCCACAAGGATAATAATATCTTTCTTCGTGCTGCTTTCGGTGAACAAATTCTAAAAACTAACACAGCGGTTATCCGCTTTGAACTTGAAAATGGAGTATTGCAACAGGGGGGGAGGCAACGCCCAAATTATCCAATGGAGGAGAGAGGGTAATATGTATCTTTAATTAGGAGCTTATAGTACATTCAACAAAATAGTACATTCTGATTGGTCGAGAGGAGTACAATTACAGCGTTAATTATATAGCCACATATTAATCCCAAATAGGTAAAAGCTGGATTTTTCGTTAATTTTGGAATCCTGTCCAATTAAGAGATTAATTGGACAGGTTTTCAATTGGGTTTTTGTTAAAAGCTGTGGTTGGCTTTACCTATTTGGGATCAATATGTGGCTATATAATTAATAGGTAATAAGACTCCATGCTGTCCAATTAAGAAATAATTAGACTCGAAAAATTCCTCTGACTGCCAAATTGGACTCGGCCACAGCCTCGTCCAATTTTTGGAAGTCCTCGAAATTTTCCTCGTCCAATTATTTCTTAATTGGACAGCATGGAGTCCTATTACATATAATAATCACATAAAACTCAACAAACCAGTTATGAGCAATAAGATGATTTTATAACTTGGTCATAAACTGGTACTTTTTGTCCAATTTGGAATTATAGACGGTTTGATTACACATGTATAATTAAATATCGAGATGTAAAAATTCAGGTTATGCCGTTCTGCTCTAATACGTCTTACTCTTGGTTCTCATTCAAAGGGTGCCATACTGATCTAAAAGGAGAAAGTGGGATGTTCTCAATTGATAAAACCCATAATGGGTACAGATCAAACTGTTCATGGACAATTGGCAAAGGTGTAAATAATATCGACTTCATAGTCATTAAATTCACGCCGTTTGACCTGGAATGGAATTGCATGTAAGTGACATTTTGATAAGGATAACGTTACGTCTGTATCACTGGTAGAAAATTGCGACATCAATTGGGACTCTGCACTCGGCTAATATATTTCGATATCTTGAAAGGTCTGAAAGGTATACAACGCATGTTTCACCAGCAAAAGACTGCCTGCACTGAATAAAATGATCGATCTAAACAAGCAATGTTCATGATGGAACACCTTAATAGTGCAAAAAAAACAACAACAAAAAACAACTTCTGTGTTAGATTCGATGATATAGTCACTTTTTTCAACCGGACTTTTTTCTTTAATTAGGTGTCTAGTACATCGATGTCCTTCATTCTCAAATGTTCTTTTGCAGCAGAAAATGTTTTATACGTGACCACAACTTCATTCCAAATTGGTCAAAACTCAGTCAAGTCAAGTGCAGTGTCTCCAACCAATGTCTCCCTACATTGTTCTGTCCCTCTCTGTCATCTCTCTCTCTCTATCTCCCCTCTCTCACTCCCTCCCTCTCTCTTTTATTTCAACATCTTCATTTTCTTATTTCTTCTACTCTTTGGTTTTCCTTGAAAGGTTTCTTCATGGTTTCTTGTTTTTTTTTTGCAATTTTCATAATTTCTTTGCTGCAGTGAATATCAGCACAGTTACGTTGAAGTCGCCGATGTAAATTATGAGGCTAAAGTAAGAGGATGTGGTGGAAGTCGTCCATTTCAAGTTCTGATCAAGAATCGACCAGCAGTAGTCAGATATTACACGTGTTGCCCCAAAAATGCATTTTTCAACGTGTCTTTCTACATCATTACCCAAAAAATGTCAGGTTAGATCACTATGTGCACTTTAGCGTATACAATTTAACTTCAGTTGTTTTAAGAGGAATGTATTTTCATGTCTTATACAGGGTATCAATTATTATCTAGTAGACTATAAAGTCAAAAGGAAAACTTATGCCATATTGCCCATTCCGAAATTCAAAAAGGGGACTAGTGACTAGTCACAAACTTGATATTGTTCGAAACAATCAAAACAAATACGAGGAAAAGAAAGAACACACTAAAATTAGCTTAGTTGCTGATTTTGAGCGTATTTGGATTAGTATTTTTACAGAGTTGGAAGCGTTTAAAACACGAAAAAGTTACAATTAATGTATGGAGCTCTTGAGCAGCATCACCAAAAAACATACATACTTAATATTTTTACAAATTAAAAAAAATCCTACTCGTTGACATACTAGGTATTCAACTAAATAGTCTTAAAGTTGAGAAGAACACTAATTGTAGTGTGGTCTTTTATGTGTTGAGATTAAATTTTCGATAAGTGGACTATTTGCCTACTCGTCCCCAGTTATCTTTTGAATTTCGGTACGGCCAATAGCCTCCTTCATGGTTCCCTGCGACATCTTGAAAGGTAGCCGTGCCTTTACATCGAAGTGAGACAACTGTTGCAATGCATGGTAAATACTAGCCTGAGTATCAGGCTCTCTCGAAGGGAACCATTCGAGAGTGCCTGATACTCAGGCTAGGTAAATACCTGAATAGGGTACGGAATTTCACGATTTTGTTGTCTTGAATAGGGTCAGGGAGCAGAGGTACAATAACCCACTCCCATCTCAAAGGCACATGGTCCACCAGCATCCCTTTAAAATACATCGTAAAAAAACTTACTCTTTATTATCCCTTTATACTATATGAATGGAAAATCAATCGAAGAGTTATTGGAGGGGGACGACTCAGTCACTCACTTTCCTGTAAACTTGAGCCTGCGTTACTTGTGATCATAAGTATTAGTTTATTCTCATTGTTTTCTTGAAATTTACTCATGAATTTACCGTTACCGGGTTCCCTGTTTTATATTGATGCAATTCATTTATATTTTGTCAAACAAAGAAATCTAAAGACATGTCAGCTCCTCTGGTTCTCGAACCTCTGGATAGGAAATCAAAGGCACTACCACTCCTTCTGTTACATATAATGTTCCTTATGATAAACATGTATTTGTAAATTGACCAATTATGATCTCCGTTCGTCTAGAGAACGGAGAGAAGGCAGAATTTCCCATTGTGACGGCAGGACCTCTTTCCTCGTCCACAGGGATCCCAAGAGGGCCGCTACGCAGGCTAAAGTTTGTTTTGTATTTTAGAAAGAAAAAAAAAGAACGAGTATATTTTAAAGTTAAAGAAAGAAAGACACACACAAAAAAAGGTTTAGAAGCTGCTCGAGTCGAGAATCGTTCCCAAGATCGTCAGTTTAACGCCGCTATTCAAGTATTATCTTGCGTGCAAAATATGTAAAACAAATTAATATCTACAGGAAAAATAAGATTATTACTTGTTACATGTAAGTATATTTCAGTAACAAAATAGAAAGAAGCAAAGAAAAAAGAATCGCTTACAAGCGATCGAGTAGCGATCGAGTCGGGAATAGAACCCGCGATCCTAAGTTCGACGCTATTCAAGTACGATAGTCTGAGTGTGTAAAAATCAAAATAATGGCTCGAAAATAATTGTAAAACGAATATCTACAGAGAAAAAAACATGACTATAACACGTTCATTTAAGTTAAAAAGGGAGAAAGAAAGAGAGAGAGAGAGAAAGAGAGAAATAATAAGTTCGACGCTATACGAGTAATTCTGTGTAAAATCAAAATAATGGAAAATCATTATTAAACAAAATCTACAGAAAATCAAGATGACTATAACAACTTTACTATACTTAAAATGAAAGAAAGAAAAAGAAAAGAGCTCGAGACGAGATTCGAACCCGCGATCTTCTGTTCGATCTAAAATGTAACAAACGC